GAAATGTTGGGATATCAAATCGACCTGGATTTGTATATATATATATATATATATATATATATATCGAGCTGCATTTGTTATGTGTTCAGTTACTCAATATGCTGTGAATGTGAGGCTGCAGGATGAACCAAAATGACAAACGATAACAGACGAAAATGGGATCCTATCGACAAGAGTATATGACACAGAGCGTTACAGTCTGTGTATAATAAGTATCAATTAATTAAGTTCTATTAGGGTACGAGTGGACGCCAGTTAGCAATTCCAAACCTATTCAGCTCAATTCATAACTAATTGCTGGTGAATGTAATCATAGTACCGCAGACCAATGTTCAGCCCTCGCACGGTTTATTGGTGTTACTGTGGGGGGGGGGGTTGGTATAAACCAACCTTGATTCTCTTGCAATCTACCAATAGTTCTTACATGTTTCCAAATAGTACCTCTACATCTAAGCCTGATAGACGTACCACACTCTTGTTAGTGCTCCTATTCTGCACCACAAGGTGGTGGTGGTGGTAGATCATTTTCCGCCTGAGTTTTGCTTCCCATGTCATTCCAACCGTATTCCAAGCCAATGAGACAAGGCTACACTATGTGAATGTGGGTGTGGCTGGGACGCTGGCTTCATTGGCTATTCAGTCAATCCAATTTGTGCACAGTTCATATAAGGGAACGGCTGGGGTTACGAAGTTCCGCTCCATCGTTTCGATGGCTTCAAAACCGCAGGTCAGGTTTACACAGGTGAGCGTGTAGGTAAAAGGATCAAAACAGTTATTTATTCTGTATTTTCATTTCTATAAGAAGTATATAGGATATCTGGCACATGCAACCGGATGACCGGATAAGCAAAAGGGTCGGTAAGATTATTTTGCCCTTGCCAACTTACAGTGTTCTTGATGTTTATGACCAGCCAATAACCACTTTCGTGACCAAGCTTTATTGAAACCTTTTTAAGCCTGTACGTTCCCGGTGTACTGCTTGGAGCATGTGAAGTTTAGCTGGAGAATACGGGGGAACAAAATGACTTTGAATAAGTTGCCGAAGTATAGCAAAGAAATTTCCTGTAGACACGATGACAGAAACTGGAAAACAAGGCGTCACAAGATAGGTGAATTTCCTGTAGACACGATGACAGAAACTGGGAAACAAGGCGTCACAGTTTGCAGTTTGCAGTATGATGCCATGTCTTGATGAATGTGAGACCAGTAGGGAAGTTAGTGTGAATGTAGTTGACCCAGTGCCAAGTGCGAGCTTATTTACACTGGCAATAAACGGAAATCAGTTGGTGGAAGTTTTTAAGGGTGAAGTGCTTGAAAAGTAAAGTGAGGTGAAGTGGAGTGAAGTGAAGTGAAGTGAAGTGGTCAAACGCAGAGAAGTATTATGATCCCTGATGATTCAGTTGACACGATATTCGAGACATCGCAGTAGAATTTGCACGAGTGCTGTCCGTTCGTCAATCCATCAGCGGAATGCTGTGTGATGCCTGAACATCTGATCCAAGTTGTACGCAGACCGCTATAAAGTGGTCCTGTTTGGCCACATGTAAACAATATCTCGGTATTTTCTAATTAACTTTGAGTTTATAATAGATCCAGTCTATGCAAGTGTAGAAATAGAGAACATGGACTCTGTCAGATAAAGTGAACTCATCTAAGCATCAGGAGAGGCCAGGCTCACAAGTCATCTGGACGCCGACCAGTCAGAACACGGAGAGACAGTCTCACTGGTAAGAATGCCCACTCAAGAAACTGCGCGGAATTGAAAACCAGATGTGCGTATAAAAACTAATTCACTCCGCCTCTCAACACCAACTCAGGCAAGCACCCCTCCGCTACATACTACAATGACGTGTCATCCCAGTTGATGATACAACGTTTGAAATGAGAATCTCAAGCTCAGAAAACAGTCCAGACAACTGAAGAACCTTAGTCGACAACATTATGTGCTATACAAGCGCTTTTATCAACAAATTCACTCATATTTATTGTTGGTGTCCGCTCTTATGGAGACTCCGGTGCAGGCCCCAGCTGTTAGAAGCACTGAACGATGTGGTCAAGCCACACAGCCCAGCGCGGAGATATCCGAACTAGCTAATAACGTATACCGGACATTCGCAGCATCAACCTATCACCAAAACTGACCGCTGGGACCATACTGAGCTGGTACAACTACCGCGCTCACTGAACGCCACAGTAGCTGCAACCTCAGTCCGGTTTATGGCTGCTGCATTGCAGTACACTGAGTGGATGGTTCAACTGAATCTCACTGCCGTTGAGAGTCAAAACAAAACTACTTGATTTACAGGATTGGAACACAAAGTGAAGGCACGGAACAATATGCGGGGTGTTATAGTCACTTGTTGTGTGGATCATTTTCCTATGGGAAATCAGCTGTCTTCACCTGTAATCAAGTTTGAGTCCTATGTTCGCTTTTCAGAGTGTGTACCACAGATTTCAAAAGGCATATGTCCATGAGTTCAAGTGCGGGTTAGTAACTACTGTGTATATCACTCGACTCTGTGTGTGGTTTAGCCAAGGAATCTCGCGATTTCCTCACGCAGCGGTTGTGATTTGAATTGTGACGATAGATCAGATCACATTTACCCGACTGTGTCCGAGCCTCACCGGCCCGTCACAATTAGTGGTGGAATCGTGTTCGCCTGCTTCGTGTGACAACGTAACTCCGCATCGTTGGACCATGGGGCGGAGGTGGATTCTTGCTGATCTTAAATTTTCGGCCCCAAATTCTAGGCCACACAGAATTCAAGAATGCTATTCCAGTGAGGCGTAGATGCTTGGGAACTGAAGTTCTCAAAATAGCCCATCTTGGCTATCCAGAATGTTTCATTCAAATCAACACTGTAAAATCCAGCTATCCTTGATGCCGACTGGTGGTAACCATTCAGTTGTCAAGATCAAATAGGAACTCTGAAGCGAGCCTAGAATGCTGTGCAACTTCGCCCGGTTCAGAATACCGAGGAAACTAACCTACGACGCTGCTAGCCCGTGTTATCTACCAGTCCGCTTGCAGTCACAGCGCGCATGTGAACACAGTTCATGGTACGACCTTGGAGCAGTAGAGCTTCTGGCTGCTCAGCTAGTGACCTGATGTCTTGCGTTAACAGGTCCTTCCTTCAAGCAAGCAACCGAATAGGTCGAAACGATTCGTTTTGTGTGATGTTCAGCGGGTGGTAGCTTGCACACAGTTGCTGAAACGAAACGCCTGACTTCTATAACCCATTAACTGGCGAGTGGTCTCACTCTGCTGATAATGCTTTCTTGCAGGTAATCTACAGGTTCTTAGTCCTTCATCCGAGTTGTGTAAAGGAACCGTTGGCGATCCACGAAGTCTGTATTCTAGGTGTACTAAGTTAAGACCGACCACTAGGACAGATACAGTTCTGAGTAGTGAATGAATATCGTTCAACCAAGAACCGAGTAGAATAGCAAACGAAATGCCATGAACATTTAAGATTGAGCGATGCGCCTACGCCGAATATCTTGATTAAAAATAGATCATATTGCGTTCTAAGCCATGAACTTTTCAATCACTAAAAATACCTTTTAGGAATAGTCTAAAATAGCATGTCCTTCTCCCAGTTGATTAGGGATTGCGTAATGCCTCCTCAGGAAGACTTGTTTTCGTCACAGTTGACAGGTGGAAAGTATTCAAGACGAATTTTGAAACGTGATTCGTTACGTTTCGAGGAGATATTTCCACAGGCGCCTTTCACAGTGGGACAACTCATTGTCGGATTTTATAGTCGTTTGCGTTCTGCCATGCCAGTCGGATGATCCTCCGACTCTGCCATCTTGCTTTTTTGAAGGCCACTGTCCCCATCCTTTTGCTATGATCAGTCCACACCTTGAACAAGCTAACGTTGTGTGAGCAGCCTTATCCGCTTGCCGATTTTCGCACTAAAGTTGTACTACATCGCAGTTAAGAGGGTTCCCTAGCTTAACTCTGCCGGAGATTCACGAAGCACTGGTCAGAATATGCGGACTGGGTCTCTAGTGATCACTGTTTTGGACGCCCAACGTTGTTTGAAGGCACTTGCTCGTGAATTACAGATGACACATAGGAGATAGCCATCATTTACCGAAAGCCTGAGGCAGTCACTGCCGTTGCGCACAACACCAGTTCGTGGCAGTAATCGAGGATTAACCAGCGGCTTTTAAAACTGTTGTATGAATACTGTTGGATTCAGGCTCCGTATGCTGAACACAGGCTTGTAGGGCTAATTGAGTGAACTTATATAAATAGCTGCCGCGTGAATCCAACGTTAATGGCAGACTAGGTGAAGTGGAAAGTCCAGTGTTATTATTAAATATCTCGGGTTTTTCTGCTGGAAACTTTGTTGTTTCTTGCTCCGATGATTTAGTCAACGGCTAAATGACTGCCTACTTTTCAGCTGTTCATTAACAATGAATTTGTGAACAGCGTTTCTGGGAAAACGTTTCTCACCATCAATCCAGCTACGGAAGAGTTTGTCATGTTCAAGAGGGCGATTTCGAAGACGTCCAGAAGGCGGTTGCTACTGCGAAGGCTGCCTTCCGGCTCAATACTCCCTGGCGCACCATGAACGCATCCAAGCATGGTCTTCCGTTGCTTAAATTGGCCTCACTTGTAGAGGGAAATGCAAAATACATTGCTGTAAGTTTCAACACTGTTCAAAAAGATGTATGTTTATTTCAATAACAAGCTTGAAAGAACCCCATACTTTGACAACATTCATCCTCCTATCAGCTCAGGCTGAGGTGTGTTTTTGTTTCACTTGATTTATTTGCTTGGGTATTACCAGAAGAAGCTACTGGATTTTAAACTAGCACTGATCTATATTCAGTAGAATGTTTGTGACCATGTAAAGATGTTCTGCTCCTCCATCCCGAACAGTTCGGCCCAGAAGAGGTGATCGTAATCCCAAATTTTCTAACCCACGGGCATTGTGGCTCCGGATAGATCGGTCCCGAAATTCTCACCGTATATCATTCTGGTCATCAGTGCCAATGGGCTGAAACAAGTTGACTGGAATACACGGAAGTACGCAGACTGAAGTCGGTGTTCTGCGACATTAATGCACATCGTTGTGTTGTGGAAAGGAAAAATCTAATTCAGACGGATGCAATCGTCTGTATGATTAGATATTATTATCAGCTAAATGATTATGACTACTTCATTCTATCTAGTTTGAAGATTGACCAAACTGAAACAAACAAGTGAAGTGTTATTTAACGTCTTTACAACTTGTGATGCTTATTGATAGAGGCTAAGAAAGCCTGATTTTTATATCTTCGTGGTGGCGACCATCGATTCTTCTTATAAACATTCTTACACATGAATGATGATGTCGTTTTCCCCATCGCGTCTAGCCTTTTTTGTTGATTACCATACTTGACCTTACCCTGGCTGAGTACACTGACATCATTAACACGACAACCACAGTACATAGTAGACAAGGTCATTCAGCAATACCTCTTACGTGACAGCCTTCGGATATCAACACGATTGTGGCCATCATTCCTTTTTGGACCGGGGATCTGATTTATGCCCTTTGTGTATTTGGTCGAATCACGTGTTTGTTCCACCCGTTATTAAGGTTTTGGTGCCTTGGCTTTGGTCACCTGTCAGAGGACGGATTCGATTCTGACTCAGGTAGTCCGTAAGCAATGTTTGTTCATAATGGACCCGTTTCTCATCCATGGGCAAAGGCTTGCAATCTTTTATCGTGAATACAAAAAGGTTAGATGCGGACCATGTCAATCATTTTGCGATCATGATGTAAGTTGCGAGTCCGAAACGTCAACCAGCGGCTAGAAACGTATCTGACCAGAATGTCCATGGACCGAAACCTCATGGACATGAAATGTTCATGGGTCGAGATTACCAGGCTAAACGTTTGAAGGCTCAATTGTCCGGAAATCCCTTCCTATGTTGAGACTGCTCCGGACAAGCATAATCCTTTACTCGGTGGCTTCCGATAACCTGATCCACCTGTTACCCAGCAAGAAAACCCATTCTAGACTGTGCACGCAAAATTCTAGTCTGAAAATTCGGGCTCACCACTGCATCTTAGTTTCTTCGTAGTGAAAGTAATCCAGGATAGGTCGCTTCTTGATGGCCAACTCAGTAAATTCAATTTCATCGTTGGCTGTTGCCTCTCCAGTTGAGGCTTCAAATCTGGACATGATTGGTTAGGGACAGTCATGGACAGGGCTTAGTTGTGGCGTCGCTGTGTCCAGCCCATTGCTTTCAGTTCTTTACAATGTTTGTACGCCTCTTCCAGTTCTTTACGAAACTGTCCGCAACCAAAGTACGGCCATTTCAATCGCTTCCGACAAGCACCGCCCCGCTATTAATTCACACCTTAGTGTAAAACAAGTGTCAGCTGGAGCCACTGACCGATATATATATATATATATA